ATTAATATATGACCTTGGGAGAAAACTTTTCAACCATAATGTTCTTACACTTGGAAAATGATATATGTATAGATATTTTACTATCAACTGATACAAAACACATGGCTTTCCTGATAGCCACACAAATATATCATAAGACAACACTTAAAATATTTTCATAAATTATTTTTGATACATATTCACTTGTAAAAAATAACTTCTTCATGTGGAAGAACAAACACTGAGTATTTAAAACACATAAACAATGTCATTGCCAAAATTATGAAGTGGAAAAAAATCTTAACATTTTTACAATTTTTACATGACTCTGAAACTAGAGTCTTCTTTCCTTTTTTGAATTTTAATTGACAATGATAGTATATGTTATAAAATTATAGGATGCAATAGGTGATTCTCTATGTTTTACACTGCAAAATGATGAAATCAAGCCGATCAACAAAACCATTACCTCATGGTACATAACATTTGGAGGGACCTGGATGTGTGCGACCCGTCGGGCTCCTATGGCCCTGGTCTCGGTTAACGCAGGAAGGAATCAGGCGAGAGGCAGATTAGAAGTACAAGCCTATGTAAGGTACATAGTCACCATTCAATAAAAAAAAAAAAAAAAAATAAGTACAAGCCTGTGGAAGGCGGGCTAGCCCTTACTTTCCCGGTAGCCCCGAGCAACCTCCGAGCCAGCCTTTTATTGAAAGGGAATGATATAGGTGATGGGAATAATTAACAATGACTACATGCTGAATGCACGGGCTCCTTCTCCATAAGTCGCCCAAGAGTCCACCCCTCAGGTGTAAATCGTCTTGCTTAGAGGTCATTTGTCTCTTGGCCTCCTCTACATGGACGGAGATGGGAGATGTCGGGCAAGGTGCAAAACTTCATTTTTGCAGAGGAATAACCTTTAGTGACCTATTGCACTGCAAGGCAACTATAAGAAATGACAATGCACTGTATATTTCAAAACTACCAAAAGAGTCGATTCAAACGGAAATGTAGTCCTGAAGAGGCTGTGTTCACTCGGTTGTCTTACATCACTTACTTCAGGATACTGCACACGGAGCCCTCACCTATTTCGTTAGCATCCTTCTCCATCTCTGAATTATTAGACTATTCAAATGCTGTTTTCTATGGAAGCTAAAATTAGAAATATGAATGTTGTATTTTACTTCTCCTTTGCAATTAAGTTCAACCTCATAATGGTCATCACATACAGACTTTTTAAAGCTGATCTGGGTGTAAATGTACTGATCCATTTCCATCTCTCTGCCTAGTACTACCCTGGCTTTCCCTACCCACAGGCATTGTGTGGACAACCGCAGCAATCTCCTAACCCTGCTGCCTTTACTCTCCCTCTTCTTCAAACAACTTTCCATACTAAAGAAGGTGATTTCCTACATTGCAGATCTGGTCCTATTATCACCCAGCTCAAAAATATTCAACAAGACACAGTGTTTATGAACTATTATGAATTTGTCATTCAAACCAAGATTAGTCTAATGTATATCTCAGTGTTATTTGGGGCCAACTGTTTTGTTTGTGTTTAAATTTGTCTCTTCTATTAAAACAGGACATTATTTTTTTTTTGGCTGGGGCTGGATTTGAACCTACCACCTCCAGCATATGACACCAGTGCCCTACCCTTCTGAGCCACAGGCGTGACCTGAGGACATTTTTCTTTTTAAAATAATCTTTACCATTATTATTATGGCAATTGCTTGCAAAAACATAAACTTATCTATAGAGACCTGATAATCTGGCTCTCAGTTCCAGATGCATCCCCGCTTCTTTCCCCCTTGCTATGCATTCTGTACATACCAACAACTTTGTTTTGCCCTGATTACATTTTATTCTTTGTCTCAGAAGATCTGCTCCAGCTCTCACATCTGTTTGCATCTGTTTTTCTTTCCTGTTAACATCGTTCCCACTTCTTTTGGAATTTCCACTGACTATATAGATAAATCCATACAAAATAATCAAAAAAACTTAAAATATATCTGTGATGGTTAATTTTATTTGTCAACTTGGCTAGATCCAGTGATGCCCAGATCTTTGGTAAAATATTATTGTGGGAGTGTCCACAAGGGTATTTCTGAATGAGGTGAACTTTTGAATCAGTTGACTAAAGTGCTGTTGCCCTCAGCAACCGGGGCGTGCCACATCCAATTCTTTGAAGCTACAACACTCACAAGATTTTGGAGAAAAACCCTTGGTATTCTTTCCAGACAACTGCTAACTTTTTCCTGACAAGCAGTTACTGGTCTGTTATTGGGACTTAAAGACTGAACGTTTAAAAATGGGATATCAATGTACTATGTCTCTGGAGCATGGGGTCATGTAATAAGTATTATGTGACCCACCATGCCATAAACTTGAGAAGACACAGCAGCATTTTTTCAGCCAATAAAGGCTGTGTGTGGGAGATGTGGCCTGAATGGTCCCTAAAGGCACAAGTTCTATGAAGAAGTGACAATAAATCCATGGTCCACACTCCTGCTACACAGCCCCTTTCTCCCCGAGTAGAGAGGGACAGTGCTGGCTGGGGTGATTGATCCCAGCCGCCAAGCGGAACTGAGCTGCTATTTCACACTGGAGATAAGGAGGGGTCTGCCTGGAGCAGCAGAGTCCCTTCAGGGCATCTCTTCATATTCTCATTCCCTGTATATCAGGGAATTTTCAACAGAAAATTATAACACCTTAATCCTGGGACCACAAATGATCCAAATCCTTCAGGAATGATAGTCTGGGTCATTCCACTAGGTAAAGAACCATGGCCTACAAGATCTTTCCTGAATACAAGGAAAATAGGAAAGAGATCATGGAAAAAAGTAACTATAAATACTAACTATGACCTCATGAGCAGTTATGGAAACAAGACCCTAATTGTCATCAGTATTTCCTCCTCATTTTGTTACAAATACATGTGTATATTTTAAATATCTTTGTTTTCTTTGATCTCTTATTCCCATATCATGTAACATAAGATATATTGACTTTATATCATAATATTCTTAGTAATTTTACATCATTGTATGTAAGCTATAAGATATTGAGGAAAAAAGTAAACCTTACTTAGGTAGTTAATGCTTCTTTTGGGGAAGGAGCCTGTGTGTTTTCAATTGAATGCAGGATCGTTGTGTCATGTTGGGAAGAATCATAGCCTTAATGATTTTTATTTTTGAACCTATGTATAATTTAAGGAGATGTATATGATGCAAAGTTGACAAGGGGTGCATTTGTGGTGGTCAGTTTTGTGTGTCAGCTTTACTGGGTTTGGAGTTTCCAGCTCTGTAGTTAAGCATTACTCTAGATGTGACTGTGAGAAGTTTCTAGAAGAGGAACATTTGAATTGGAGCAAAATGGAGTAGTTTTACCCACCCTGGTGGGGTAGTTCTCATTCACTACTTTGAAGGCTTGAACATAAAATAAAAAGCAGAGTAAGGGAGAATATGCTGTCTCTGCCTGCCTGTCCGTAAGCTGACACAGCATTCTTACCCTTCAGAATCAGACTCAGACTCAATGTGGAACACGTTCCATTCACTCTCCAGCTTTTCTGGTCCTCTGATTCAGACAGAAATTATACCACTAGCTCCCCTGAACCTCTTCCTGGCCTAATTCATGACTGAGACTTTCCAGCTCCCATAATCACGTCAGCCAATTCCTTATAATAAATGTAAATAAATTATCCATTTCTCTGGGAAACTCAGACTACAATAATATCTGAATTCAAAATAGAACATTTAAAAAAATCAAAGCAAATTCAGCCCTAATCTATTTTCCTTTATAAATTGGAAAGCATTTTTTTTGTTGCTGTCTGTTTGTTTTATCATTTCTTTATAACATTATTGAGGTATAATTGATATCCAATAAGAAACTGTACATTTAGTGTATACACAGTAGGCCCATGACATACACAGGTGATTGGTTGCAGGACCCTTGTGCACATACTTGAGTCTTGCTGTCAGCCCTGAGGAAACTGCACATTTGAAGTCAGCTCTCAGTATGCAAAAGTTTCACATCCTCAAACTACACTAAAAAAAATAAAAATAAAACCCTGCATATAAGTAGATCCACGTGGTTCAAACCCACGTTGTTCAAGGCTGAACTGTCACTTCATGAGGTTGACAGATGCTGACAGAAACGATAGATATGTTTAATCACAACATTGTGTGATGTTGCCGTGGTGGTTTTATTTTTTGCTTAAGGTCTTATTTATCGCAAAAGTATGGCAAACTGCCCAATCCTTATTATCAATAATTTTCACATTTTCTAAAGAGTTTTCTAATATCTTGCTCAATCTTTAACAAGGAAAACCATCCAATAAATGCTGATAACTGCTAAATTGACTATTATAATATAGCATTCCTAATATTTTCAAAATGATAAAATAAATTTCCTAAACATTTTTATGACTAGTATGCTGCATTTCAGCCTTCAAGGTACATTTTTTTTCCTGTTAATTTCAGATAAAACAACCATATTTTTAAACTGAATCATATTAAATAGTAGCTTCATGAACAACATATTAGTACTTAGATTTATGGCAAATAAAAACCAAATATAATATAAATACTATAAAAAGTTTTCACCATAAAACTATTTGTTTTGAGCTAAGATGCATAAGCTGGACTCAAGCTCCCACAGTAAACATCTACAAACCTGGACAAAATATGTGAATTGAGGTTTGGTGCCTGTGGTTCAGCCGGTAGGGCACCAGCCACATACACTAGAACTGACGGCAATGACAACTGCAACCAAAAAATAGCAGGGGACTGTGGTGGGTGCCTATAGTTCCAGCTACTTGGGAGGCTGAGGCAAGAGAATTGCTGAAGCCCAAGAGGTTGAGGTTGCTGTGAGCTGTGATGCCACAGAACTCTATGGAGTGTGACACAATGAGAATCAGTCTCCAAAAAAAAAAAAAAATATATATATATATATATATGTGAATCAACAGTTTTAGAAATTGGATAGCAGAAGACAAGCAACGCAAGAAGACAAGTGGGCACCCTGAATGCTAGCTTTCTGTCTCTGGAAGCATTTTACTGCAGGGAAGTGAAGCCCGTACAGAGACTGGGAATCCTCCTGGCAGAGCAAACCAAGACCCATGTTAAGAGTTGCTATTGTGATGCCGATGTGCTGAACAAGGTACAAAGAGGAAAGAGTCACTAAAAAGAGCTCAACCAAGATATCTGTGTGAGAGTTCTACTAAAATTTATGCTCGAATCGTAAACTATGAATGAGCAGGATGCCTAAGATAGAACACTTACGGGGGTCAAAAATTTTAACAGAATTTCCGAGGTTGGAAAACACAGAAAGAGGTTCAGTTTTTAAGTATGAAATTTCTGATTTCCTAAAATACTAAGTTTATTGGTTCACTGACATTTCCCATTGGTACTCCTTGTTTTATTTTTACTGTGAAGGTACATCCTCATTCTGTCAAAGGCATGTTTTGCCTTGTGATTCTCTTCCAAATGTATTTTCAGAGCAAGTTTTATGAAACCCTAGATGGGTCCAAAAAAGTGCCATTTTTGAAAATGAGTTCTGTAGTCAAACCAAGTGCAGTGCAGAAAGCTCAAAATATCAATAGAGTGTTGGGGAAGAACGTGACTAAGGAATGCATGAGATGGATGACTAAGAAC